GTGCATATGTTTGTAACAGGCAAAAATAATCGACATAGACCCATGGTTCCTTTTGAGAATATGCATAGAATCACTTTCTGAGTCGATTTACGCATGTCCGTCTGTCCGTCCGCCCGTCTGTCCACGTTAAATTGTAAACAAAGTACAGGTCGCATTTATTATCCGAATTGGATGAAATTTGGTATAGGTCACTTATTTGGCCCAAGGACGAAAACTATTTAAATTGAGAAAAATCGGTTCAGATTTAGATATAGCTCCCATATATATATATTTAACCGACTTAATGTAAACGGTCCCTATATATCTTTCGATTTGCATGAAAATTGGTACAGCCTAATCACTTAGGTCTAGAATGATGTCTGCCAAGTCTCGTGATAATCTGTCCAGATTTAGATATAGCTCCCATATATAGTTTCGTCCGATTTCATGTAAATGGTGCACCAAAGTCTTTCGATTTGCACCAAATTTGGCATAACGTACTGAATTGAGCCTAGAATTATGTCTGCCAAGTTTCGTGAAAATCGGTTCAGATTTAGATATAGCTCTCATATATATCTTCCGTCCGATTTATGGTAAATTGTGTACCAAAGTCCCTATATATCTTTCGATTTGCACGAAATTTGGCATTACGTATTGAACTGAGCCTAGAATGATGTCTGCCAAGTTTCGTGAAAATCGGTCCTGATTTAGATATAGCTCCCATATATAGTTTCGTCCGATTTAAGGTAAATGGTGCTCCAAAATCCCTAAATATCTTTCGATTTGCACGAAATTTGGCACAGCGTACTGAATTAAGCCTAGAATTATCGTGAAAATCGGTTCAGATTAAGATATAGCTCTTATATATAGTTTCGTCCGATTTTATGTAAATGGTGCACCAAAGTCTCTATATATCTTTTGATTTACACGAAATTTTGCATAGTGTACTAAATTGAGTCTTGAATGACGTGACGAATCGGTTCAGATTTAAATATAGCTCTATATATAGTTTCGTCCGATTTTATGTAAATGGTCCACTAAAGTCCCTATATATCTTTCGGCACAGAGTTATGAATTAGGTGATTTATGTTTCTTGAAATCGGTTCAGATTTAGATACAGCTTCTATTTAGTATAGGTTGCAGAATGACATGTTTATGGATCCAATTTCATTTTACTGTTCCATTAAAAATGCGACGTCTGTTAGGATTTATCTGTTGAATATACCCAAAGTGGTGAAGGGTATCATATAGTCGGCCTCGTCCGACTTTACCACTTTCCTTACTGGTTAAATATATATTTTTGAAGAGAATAAAATTATATGTCAATTTATGCATGTTCGTCTGTTTAAATCACGCTAGAGCTTGTATTTTTTAAGATAAAGGTTTGGAGTTTTGCACATACATTGCTATTACTCTTATGACGTTTGGTATAGGAAATGTGATACATCGGTCCACGTTCTGGAATATCCCCCACATTACGTTACCCCCAAATATCCAGTATTGTGGGAATTGCTGGCATTTAATTGACTGTACTTTAGTATATTGAACTCAAATCTCCCTACCAAATTATGTTTGTATTGTTTTTCTGTTTTGGGAGCAACATATCCCGAATCGAACAAAACCCCTGACCGTGGTTCAGTTCGTTTGCCAGAACATCATTCACCACAGGTCAGTGTTGATGAGATGTAATGGGTGCAGGGAGTGGGTGCACTTCAAAAATTGTTCCGGGTTGGCCCGATTGCAAAATTACAGCGATAGGGATTACGTTGCATCGTGCTGCGACAGCGCAATCCCCAGCGATGCTTCGTCTACGTCGTCGTCTTCTTCGTCGGAGTACTGAACTCGACCGCAGTCTCTTCAACAGAAACCAAGTATGCAGCACTTAACACCGCACGTTGCTGTTCTCACCCCTGACAGTGCAGACAAAAATAGATGAGATAGTGGATTTCATGAATCGGAAGAATATTTTGGTCGCGGCGGTGCAGGAAACCAAACTCAATGAATGGTTACAACGTTCTGATGGTTACAACGTTCTGAGGAAGGATCGCACCATGATCTAGAGAGAGAGAGGACCAACGATACAAAAGGGAGCCTCTAGATCAAGTTGCCTATCGTGCAGGTCTGAATGACATTCATACAGATGCAGTAGCCGCAACGCTGAACGGTTACAAAGTGAATGCCGTCCTCGGAGCTCTTTTTTTTAATTCCATTAAAGACAATTGTTTTGATTTGATCTTTATCAATAAATGAACCGACTAATATTAATCCATATACATGCTTTTCTGCAACCTATGCTAAATTTCAATGGGACAAATTTGGCTAAATCGATTTATAGCACACTTGATACACACTATTCGATAATATCAATCAGACACCCGTTCGAAATATATATGTAAGCTATGTCTGCATCTGCACCCAAGGGTTGTGTTTTGTTCCGAATTGACCGGCAAGTAAATTGTAAAATAAAGAAATTTTGAAATCTGTACGTAAGAGTTGTTGTTTTTTAGTTACTTACACATCAATACGGAGAAGACCAAATTGGTTTTTTTATCTATACAAGACCTAATTGGTCCCCTGTCCTTAAAAAACCTCATTGGGTTTCTATGCATAAAATACCAGATATAATATATTTTTGGTCTTCCATCAATGGCAGACGTAGTATACCTATGGAAAAAGCAGTATTTAATCAGTTGATATCATCATTGCATGGAGACCTAGATGTTTTGTATCGTCTAGCACACTTGATACACACTATTCGATAATATCAATCAGACAGCCGTTCGAAATATATATGGAAGCTATGTGTGCATCTGCACCCATTACAAAAAAAGTGCAATCAATCTGGTCTCAATTGAATACGTTGAGCAAAATTTCGTCAATCGGAGGAATTTGGTGCACCATTTACCTAAAATCGGACGAAAATATATATGTGAAAAAATATATATCTAAATCAGCTTTTCAGGAAAATTAACACACATCGTTCTAGACTTAAGTGAGTACGCTATGACAAACTTCGTGCAAATCGAACGGTATATAGGGACTTTGGCACACCATTTACCTTAAATCGGAATAATATATATTGGAGCTATATCTAAATTTGAACCGATTTTCACGAAACTTCGCACACATCATTCTAGGCTTAATTTAGTACGCTATACAAATTTCATGCAAATCGAAAGAAATTTAGAGGCTTTGGTACACCTTCTACACAAAATCGGACGAGAATATGTATGTGAGCTATATCCAAATCTGAACCGATTTCCACGAAATTTGGCAGACATGACTCCAGACCCAATTCAGAACGCTGTGCCAAATTTCGTGCAAATCGATGAATATATATGGTCTTGGGTGCACCATTTACATTATATCGGACGCAAATGTATATGGGAACTATATCTAGATCTGAACCGATTTTCACGAAACTTCGCACGCATCATTCTAGGCTTAATTCAGTACACTGTGCAAATCGCAAGATATATAGGGACTTTAGTGCACCATTTACCTTATATCGGACGAAAATATATATGAGAGCTATATCTAAATATGAACCGATTTTCAGGAAACTTAGCACACATCATTCTAGGCTCAATTCAGTACGCTGTGCCTAATTTCGTGTAAATCGAAACATTAAATCGGACGAAAATATATATGGGAGCTATATCTAAATCTGAACCGATTTTCATGAAACTTAGCACACATCATTCCAGGCTTAATTTAGTACGCTGTACCAAATTTCATGCAAATCGAAAGATATTTAGTGACATTAGTACACCATTTACCTTAAATCGGACGAAAATATATATGGGAGCTATATCTAAATCATATCAGATTTTTCTCAATTTCAATAGGGTTCGTCCTTGGGCCAAATGAATGAGCTGTGCCAATTTTCATCCAATTCGAATAATAAGTGTGACATGTACTTTGTTCACAATTTAACATGGACAGACGGACGAACGGATGCATGTCCATAAATCGGCTTAGAAAGTGTGTCTATCTCGTTTCCTTTTGCCTGTTACAAACACATGCACAAAGACATAATACCCTGTACCACAGTGTGGTGAAGGGTATAAAAATGGTTTAACAACTTAGTTTGCCAGATTTCAAATTCCAGTCCCTTTATTATCGTTCAGTTTTATGTAAATTCTACACCAACGATTCTACGTCTGTCCGATTAAACCAAAATATAGCTTATAATTGAGTATAGGAGGACATTTTTGGAATGTGATGATATTTAGTTGCAGATCCCAATTAGCAGATTTCATATTAATAATGCAATAAAGACTCTATGTCCGATTGAAATGCAAATTTACAGATTAAAGTATAGAATGACGTCTGAGTAAACTCTTGTGCTCTTATATCCGTCCCGTCCGACTTTGGTACTTTCCATTAATAACAGATGATCTGGTTGTTATTAAATCTTTTGGAGATCCTAATGCCATTCTATCCATATCGTGACTCATCCTGACAAATAAACATTCTATGTTTTGAAACCGTTATTGGTCTTCGACTACTGGACGTCTCCATTGGTGTTTCACTAATCAAATATCTTATCAGAGTACAAATGTACACTTTGATTTTCTAGAATAACAATATTTAAAAATATACACCGCAGGTGTCAATTGTGCTCCAAATTCCACTTGATTTTATTTAGTGATTTTTTGTACAGATATTTAACAAGACCTTTCTTAGCCTGCAGTAGGAGCGTACAATTCTTTGGTTTGTCTTATCAAACCAATGACAATTTCAGATAATAGATGGAGTTAAGTGTTCGTTCGCTCGATGATTAATATCTATCATCTAATTATTGTACTTAATGTCATTCATTAAAAATAAATTGACGAAATATGTTCGAGAATGTTAAGATAGCGCAAATTTGTGTGCTTAAGATTGTCCTCAGTTAGTTCCTAGAAACATAGATAATCGCTTGACCATAGGATAGGGGACTATAAAAGTTGTCGAGTTCATTTATTGCAGTGTCAGTTAATCCGTGCATTTAATCAACGTTCGGTGTTACAACAACAATGAAATTTACTGTATTCGCTGTCATTGCCGCCTTCTGCCTTGTTGCAGTTTCGGTGAGTTTCCTGCGGCCCAAGCAAATTAGCAAAATTTTTCTTACTTCCCAATCGTTTTTCAGGCCAATGCTACCGGGGATATTTTCCTTCAAAATGAGTTAATGGAAGATATGGAACTTATATCCCAGGATTTAGCTGAAGAAATTGCCGAAATTGAACCAAACGGTGCCTTCACCGGCATGTACTTTGTTATCAAGAAAGCTTTACGTTATGTCAAGGGTTTGAATTGTACCATCAAGGAGGTATTGGCCATTCAAACGGCTGCCCAAAACTTTGTCGACAGTGTTCGTGCTTGTGGTGGTGAAGTCTCCAAAAAGGTTCAAAATCTAATTGATGCCTGCAATGACATTATCCAGACCTGCAAGGAAATTTTGGGCATTAACGAAACTATTTGTGGCAATAGCAATGATGTCGAGGAGTCTAGCGGCGATGATGTTGAAAGCCATGGTGTCATTTCCAAGGCGAAGACCGCCCATAAGTGTTTTGTGAAAATGGTACGCAAGGTAAATAAGTTGAAGAAACAAGTTAAGCGGGCTATCAAAATGATTAAGAGCATCAAGAAAGTGCCAGGTGATACCAGTGACTGTGTCATGGATGCCGTCAACAATTTGGAAATGTATTTCACACAATTCCCAGCTAACATTAAAACTTGTTCCAAATTGACCAGCAAGTAAATTGTAAAATAAAGATATTTTGAGATCTGTACGCAAGGGTTGTTGTTTTTTAGTTATTTAGACATCAATACGGAGAAGACCAAATTGGTTATTTTATCTATACAAGAACTAATTGGTCCCCTATCCTTAAAAAACCCTCATTAGGTTTCTATGCATAAAATACCAGATATAATATATTTTTGGTCATCCATCAATGGCAGACGTAGTATACCTATGGAAAAAGTAGTATTTACACAGAAAAAAAAGCCACCCCGAAATTTTTGATTAAAAGCGTTTTGATTCAGCGTTCGACAAAAAGATGTCGATAACATATTTCAAACGTAGTCGGAAATGTTTATCAAACACCAACAATTCACAAAAAAACCATCAACAAACGAGTTTGCCCAAAAAAATTATTAAATTTGTTTTGACAATTTTTAATAATTTTTTTGTAATATGCCATATTATTTTTTATTACGTTATTACAAAGTACTTTGTTGAATAGATTTTAAAAGATGGATAACAAATATAAGTTTTTATTCGGTATAGAGCTACACATTTAGTTTAAAGCCGTTAAAATACTGAAAATTTGGAGGTATTTTTGTGGGAGAGCTGTAATAATAAGGGTAAAAATCGGCAATTGCTGTTTAAAAGGTTTTGTATCGTACTACAAGAAATTTAATTTGAAATAATAATAATAATTTGATAAACAAGATTGTCAATATGAAAAATATTTTATCGATTAACAAAATAAAATTCAACAAAATTTTTAGCAATTCTCATAGCTTTATCAAAATATTTTCGAATGGGATTACAATTTTTTTTATCGGCGATTGTAAATATGAACATTATTTTTATCGGCGAAAAATCAATCAAATTTTAATTGGATTTTTGCATTTTTTTATCAAATGGTTACAATTTTTTTTCTGTGTAACATCAATCCATATACATGCTTTTCTGCAACCTATGCTAAATTTCAATGGGACAAATTTGGGTAAATCGATTTATAGCACACTTGATACACACTATTCGATAATATCATTCAGACACCCGTTCGAAATATATGTGGAAGCTATGTCTGCATCTGCACCCATTACAAAAAAAGCGCAATCAATCTAGTCTCAATTGAATACGTTGAGCAAAATTTCGTGTCAATCGGAGATGTTTGGGGCACCATTTACCTAAAATCGGAGGAAAATATATATGTGGCAGATATATCTAAATCTGCATTTTCAGGAAAATTAACACACAACATTCTAGACTTAAGTCAGTACGCTATGTCAAATTTCGTGCAAATCGAACGGTATATCGAACGGGACTTTGGCACACCATTTACCTTAAGTCGGAAGAATATATATGTTTCACGAAACTTAGCACACATCATTCTAGGCATAATTCAGTACGCTGTGCAAATCGCAAGATATATAGGGACTTTAGTGCACAATTTACCTTAAATCGGGCGAAAATATATATGGGAGCTATATCTAAATCTGATCCGATTTTTCCCATTTTTGGAATATGATGGTATTTAGATGCAGATCCCAATTAGCAGATTTCATGTTAATAATACAATAAAGACTCTATGTCCGATTGAAATGCAAATTTACAGATTTAAGTATAGAATGACGTCTGAGTAAACTCTTGTGCTCTTATATCCGTCCCGTCCGACTTTGGTACTTTCCATTAATAACAGATGACCTGTTTGTTATTAAATCTTTTGGAGATCCTAATGCCATTCTATCCATATCGTGACTCATCCCGACAAATAAATATTCTATGTTTTGAAACCGTTATTGGTCTGGACGTCTCCATTGGTGTTTCACAAATCAAATGTCTTATCAGTGTATAAATGTACACTTTGATTTTCTAGAATAACAATATTTAAAAATATATACCGCAGGTGTCAATTGTGCTTCACATTCCACTTGTACCGGTATTTAACAAGACCTTTCTTAGGCTGCAGTAGGAGCGTACAATTCTTTGGTTTGTCTTATCAAACCAATGACAATTTCAGATAATAGATGAAGTTAAGTGTTCGTTCGATCGATGATTAATATCTATCATCTAATTATTGTACTTAATGTCATTCATTAAAAATAAATTGACGGAATATGTTCGAGAATGTTAAGATAGCGCAAATTTGTGTGCTTAAGATTGTCGTCATTTAGTTGCTAGACACCTAGATAATCGCTTGACCATAGGATAGGGGACTATAAAAGTTGTCGAGTTCATTTATTGCAGTGTCAGTTAATCCGTGCATTTAATCAACGTTCGGTGTTACAACAACAATGAAATTTACTGTATTCGCTGTCATTGCCGCTTTCTGCCTTGTTGCAGTTTCGGTGAGTTTCCTGCAACCCAACGAAATTAGCAAAACTTTTCTTACTTCCCAATCGTTTTTCAGGCCAATGCCACCGGTGATATTTTCCTTCAAAATGAATTGATGGAAGATATGGAACTTATATCCCAGGATTTAGCTGAAGAAATTGCCGAAATTGAACCAAACGGTGCCTTCACCGGCATGTACTTCGTTATCAAGAAAGCTTTACGTTATGTCAAGGGTTTGAATTGTACCATCAAGGAGGTATTGGCCATTCAAACGGCTGCCCAAAACTTTGTCGACAGTGTTCGTGCTTGTGGTGGTGAAGTCTCCAAAAAGGTTCAAAATCTAATTGATGCCTGCAATGACATTATCCAGACCTGCAAGGAAATTTTGGGCATTAACGAAACTATTTGTGGCAATAGCAATGATGTCGAGGAGTCTAGCGGCGATGATGTTGAAACCCATGGTGTCATTTCCAAGGCGAAGACCGCCCATAAGTGTTTCGTGAAAATGGTACGCAAGGTAAATAAGTTGAAGAAACAAGTCAAGCGAGCCATCAAAATGATTAAGAGCATCAAAAAAGTGCCAGGTGATACCAGTGACTGTGTCATGGATGCCGTCAACAATTTGGAAATGTATTTCACCCAATTCCCAGCTAACATTAAAACTTGTTCTAAATTGACCAGCAAGTAAAATGTAAAATAAAGATATTTTGAGATCTGTACGCAAGAGTTGTTGTTTTTTAGTTATTTAGACATCAATACGGAGAAGACCAAATTTGTTCTTTTATCTATACAAGAACTAATTGGTCTCCTATCCTTAAAAAACCTCATTGGATTTCTATGCATAAAATATCAGATATGATATATTTTTGGTCTTCCATCAATGGCAGACGTAGTATACGTATGGAAAAAGTAGTATTTAATCAATTGAAATCATCATTGCATGGAGACCTAGATGTTTTGTATCGTCTAAAGATGTCCTGAAGCTTTGTATTAAATATGGAAGATGTTCCATATTTAATACAAAGCTTGAGGATGTACAGAATTTTTATTATTCATGAAAGCTATAGACAAATTATTATTATAGATTACCCGAAAGACTGCTATGCACTTTATTTTAACACCAAAAAAGCCATATAGAATATATATATATATATATGTTTTTTATCGTCTAAGAAAATCTAGTGGTGCTACGACTATATGTATAAAATTGTATACAAAGGGCTTACAGATGATAAAAGACCTATAAGTATTTTGTTCTCTATAGAAAAGTAAATACCTTATAGAAGACTGGGATGTATTCTATACAGAATTCAAAAAATTCATCAAAGATCTTATGATTCAAATGTACTTTAAAAAATATTCGTCTCAAATCCACATTTGTTACTAAACAGTATAGTCGGGCGGGGCCCACCATACGATACCCTACACTACTGCCACGGAACTTAACTTTCTTCGGATTTGTTTTCCGAACCTGGGCAATATTTCGTGATAGTTGGACCCTCTTGCCCAATTAGAGGTCAACAGAACCTCTTCCTTATACTGACATATTTTCCGAATATCACTAATATTCAGTATAGTCCTTCTAATTACTTGTCCATATTCCCTTCACCGTGGTCTGTGCTGTGATGTTCGTCTTATAATTGTGGCCTATAGATCGACTCAAAAAAAAAAACACACACACACACAAAAAAGTTTTCGGTCCACTTCATCCCAAATTTTGTATGTGATCATCACCGAAAATTATAGGCGTTGTCCTTGACCATAACTGGATCCTCTTGGAAAATTTTAAAGCGATAAGCGCTATATTTTTGGCCTCTAATGTTAATGGATTACTAAATAATATCTGAATACGTAAGGACCTGTAAATATTTAAGTGTAACTCCGACATCTTGGATATACTATCAACTTCTCGGGATCATGTCCTTCAGGGGTAAATATATATGCTATAGAATAAAAAGTTTGAAATTTTTCACACAAGTCAGGGTCCATTTGACCCGCTAAATATTGATCGACCTTTATCAAATAAGCATGGTTATTCTTTGGCCTTATCCCCTTCTCCATGCAAAAATTCGCGATGTTCAAGCCATAATTGCGGCCTCTGTAGCGACCAGAAAACCAGTCAAAATTAAGTTTTTGGTTCATTTCATCCCCTAAATATTAAGGGATCTTTACCAAAAAGAGTATATGCAACCATAAGTTTGGTATCAATTTGAAGGTCAACAACTCCTCTTGGATATACTATCAACTTCTCGGGTATATGTCCTTCAGGAGTAAGTATATACTCCCCAGAATAAAAATTGTGTAATTTTTCACACGATCTTTATCAAAACAGACATGCTTATTCTTTGGCACGATCCTCATCTCCATGTAAAATTTCACGATGTTTGGACCATAACTGGGGCCTCTGGAGCGCCCAGAAAAACCGACAAAAATTAAGTATTTGGTCCATTTCATCCCCTAACTATTAACCGATCTTTACCAACAGCAATAGGGGTCTTCATTGGGCCGAAACTATCCTCCATGCAAAATTTAGTGAAGATAGGTCCATAAATGTGGCCTGTATCGTGTTTACAAATTATAATGGACAGACGGACGGACGGACACACATGTATAGATCGCCTCAGCTAGTTGAGATGTGACAATCGGTTTACTTAAAGGTGGGTCTAGGACCAATATTTCGCGGCGTTACAAAC